TGCCTACATCCCCTGCCATCAGGCTGGTTGCTGTTTATTAGGCTTTTGTAGTCCACTGTGGGGACCGGCCTGTGATGGGTTGGCTGGGGCGGGGAGTCTGGCTGTGGTGCAGGGGCGCGTGACGTGACCGGGAAGTCAGCATGATTTATAGCAAACTGAGACCTACATGGTTAAGGGGCTGGGGTGGGGAATGCAGCAGAGCACATCACAGGACTGTTTGCTCTAGTGGGGACGCCCTAGTAACAGGCACTACCCTAAGCGTGCGCTTGTAAATGAAAGCTAAAGCAGCCTCCTCTCTTCCCAAACACAGCGGCTGGGTGACCGGCTACTTGCTCTTCCCCCTTCCAGGTTATTATTACATAGACCCCAATCAAGGCAGTCCGCAGGACTCTCTGCTGGCCTTCTGCAACTTCACGGCAGGGGGAGAGACCTGTATAGCGCCAGTACGCAATCAGGTATGGCAGGGGGTTTGCAGCACTGGGGGAGTCCGGTTGCTTTTCTCAGGCAGCGGGACTTGCAGAAAATCTGCTTCTCTGCCGTGGCAGAGCCATGCATGTGCGGATAAGGACCTGGGAAATGACAGGGAAGCCAGGGTAGAGGTCCAGGAATTGGGGGCTGTGGGGGGAGTGACTAATAGCACATCAGGGGCAGGACAAGAGGAGAACGAAGGGGAATTAGAGAGGAGGTAAAGAGGGATGTAGCCTGGAACCTTCGCACCAACAATCAGCCACATGTAACTTGCTTCGGGTCTGGTTTGTGCTGACAAAGCCACAAACAGTGCAGCTGCCTTGTGATCAAGGCAGAACCTGCAGTCTTTTTCTTTAGCCCCTCTGGGGGTGCTTAGGGGCATACTGCTGCCTGGGGGTGAAGATGGTCTCTGTGTAAACCCCAAGAGTGAGCAGAGGGTGAGACGAGGTGGAGCCTTTGTAAACCACAATTATTACTACACACATGCAGGCCCAGAGCACGGCTCTGCTGAGATGCCTCGGCGGGAGACAAACGCAGGCTGCAGTTCCTGGCCAGAGTTATTTGCTGCCAGGAAGTCCAGTTCTTTAACCTCAGACATAGAGATGCAAGTGAGACCTGAAAGTCATGACAGGCGGTCAGCTCATCAGCCGCATCTGGGGCGTCTAACTGTGGCAACGTTTTTAACCCCCAGGTGCCTATCAAAGCCTGGCTGAGAGCATACCCCTCCAAGGACACCTTTGTGTGGTTCAGCACCCTGCCTGGGGGCTTCCAGGTCAGTTCTGTTCTGCCCTGGTGCATCAGGGATGGCCCCATATTAGCTCACTGGCATGGCATTTCTGTGAGGCCTGGCTCAATACCAGGAGCGATCAGAGCGCTGCACGCAGGGACGTTTTAATAGCGGACACAGAACCTGCTGTTCTCATTCTTGGCACGGTCTGTAGGATCAGGTGGGTGCTAAGGAAGCTCTTGGTAACTCTTGAATCAAGCTCTACTTGAAACAGAAATTAATCCAGGGACGTCCCGGAGCCTGTGTTGTACGTAAGGTCAGATGGGGTGAGCACACTGGTCCCTTGTGGCCTTACGGCCTATGAAAGCTGCTTGCATGTTCGCCGCGCCCCCCCCCCCCCCCCCCCGTGCCTGTAACCACGAGGGGGAGTGGCTAGGACAGGGGGTTGGGGTGTAGGAAGGGGTGAGGGCTCCAAGGTGAGGCTGGGGATGAAGGGTTTGGGGTGTGGGAGGGGGCTCAGGGCTGGGGTGTGGAAGGGGGTGTGGGCTCAGGGGTGGGGATGAGAGATTTGGGGTGTAAGAGGGGGTTCCGACCTGGGGCAAGGGGTGGGTTTGGAGTATGGGATCCAGCCAGGAGGCACTGACCTCAGACAGCTCCCAGTTGACGGCACAGTGGGGCTAAGGCAGGCTCCCTACTTGCCCTGGCTCTGTGCAGCTCCTAAAAGCGGGTGGCATGTCTCTCCCCTAGGTGCAGGGGCCAGAGGCCTCCGCCCCACGCACTGGCTGCGCAGCTCCCATTGGCCAGGAACTGTGGCCAGTGGGAGCTGCAGGGATGGTGCCTCACAGAGCCAGGGCAGGCAGGGAGCCTGCCTTAGCCCCGCTGTGCTGCCAATCGGACTTTTAACAGCCTGGTGAGCAGGCACTCCCATGAAAAACTCAACACCTGACAACCCTAGATAATCTCAGAGTGGGTTAAATGTGGGCCTTGGAAGAGCTGGAATTCCTCCTGGCACGAATGGTGACATCCTCTCCGTCAGGCTCGACTCGGGGGCTTTGCTGCAGGTTCAGCATTCTAGGAGCTGCAGTAGGCCCGCTCCTCCCCGAGCTGAACCCCGTTAACCCTCTTGTCGCTGCAGCTGGAGTACCAGGGAGCCAGCACCGTCCAGCTCCGCTTCCTGAAGCTACACAGCAGCCTCGCCACCCAGAAGATGTCGTACTCCTGCAGGCCCGACTCCAACGGAGGAGAGCTGCAGCTGGAGAAAGACATCAAGTTCCTAGCAGACTCCAGGGAGCAGAGCTACTTGACCACGCTGCCAGGCTGCATGGTAAGTGGAGGGGGGGCGGCAGGAAGCTGAGCCAGTAGTTTGAATCGGGTGTGTTCTTAGCGGAAGCAAGTAGGTTGAGAGAAGTGGGGATTCCTGCAGGGCAAAGGCCTTTCCGGTGGAACCCCTTGTAGTTCACACCCAGCAACCACTGACAGACCTTCCTGTAAGATTAAAGCCTGTTTTCCCAGCTGCAGGGAGAGGGGTTTCGTGCTGGTCTTGAAGGTAGCCTTGGGAAGAGTTGATAGGTGCCAACTCAACTTTGGCCACAGCACTGTTACACGTTACCCATGGCTAGGTGGAGCCCATGTAGTATGGATGCTTGCCCCCTCCTGCCCCACAAGCAATTCCAGTTGGGGAGCACATGCTAATGTATTGAGAAAATTAGGTGCCAGCTTCCCTTTCAGAGTGTCTTTGTATAGGCAAGATACTGTTCTCAATAGACTCTGATCGAGATGTTTTACCCGAGAGAGGCCACATCCACCCAAATCCAAGGTCAATCGCAATCATATTTTTCAGCTTCAAGGGCCTCACGTTGGGCATTTAAATAAGTGGCTTGGTCTAGGGGAGACTCCAGCCCCCCCATATTGGCTTCAGGTGGCACTCAATAGCTCTGCCCATCAGGCCTTTTAGCTAGAGACCCAACTCCAAGCAGTCCTGTTTGAAAATGATTAACGTAGTTAATTCCAGGCATTGCAAACACCCAACGTTCGCAAGTGAAGTTCGTTCCCAATGTGATGGTGCCGAAGCAGCATCATGAAGCAATAATTTTGTCTCAGCAACATGAGGCTATGAGGCTCCTCTATGGGGCTCTCCTTCGGCACTTGAGCTGCATTTTTAGTAGCACCTAGAGTCCGTGCTCGAGGCCCCATTGTGCCTGCCCCCCCCCGAGTTGTATCTTTTCCACAGGAATGTTCTTAACTCATGGTAACTGGCAGAAGTGAAGACAAGGCAGTTTGAAGCTGATCTCAAGTTGAGAACACAAGTGAAAACACAAGGGCAGAAGCTAAGGTTTACCTTGGCCTGGTAACATGTATTAAAACTACACCACGAGTCTTTACTAGGATTTTATCTTGTTAGTAACCATGTTCATCCAGCCCCCATGCCAATGCTAGGTGCCCTGCTGAGATCCCCCCCCAGCCCTCCATTTCTGTGATAACACAAGGTAAAACCACCTTTTTTCCTAGTTGATTTAGTGGGGGCTTGGTCCTGCTTTGAGCAGGGGGTTGCACTAGATGACCTCCTGAGGTCCCTCCCACCCTGCTAGTCTATGATTCTATGAGTGGAGACAAGGCCTGTCATCACTGACCCATGCTAATAGTGCATGTCCCTTGTGTTACAGATGGACAATGAGTCTTCAATCACAGACACCATATTCCAGTTTTCCACAGAGGAGCTGGCACTTCTGCCCGTGCGAGACCTGGCTGTGTTTCACAATGGAGACGTCTCACACCAGTTTGGATTCACTGTTGGACCAGTTTGCTTCAGCTGAACCCAGAAACAAAAATCCATTTTCCTTTTGAGGAACATATGACTGCAGAGGAGAAAGGAACTAAAAAAACCTTCCCGTTGCTGAACCTTTGGCTAGCTTTTGAAAGCTACCGTTCCTATTTATAAGGTAATGTTTATAGCTGCATTATGCCATGGACTACACGGCCTTCTGGAGGAGGAGACTATTGTTTACAAAAGTAATTTTTCTATAAATATATATATAAAAGGTGCTAATTTAATAATTGATGGGAAAATTGTCATTTAACTTCATCTCTTAAGGTCTGTTTAAAAGGCGATCCAAGCTTTCAGCTGGGACTAGGTTTTCTTCACCTTGGTCAGGTGCACAAGTCCCTGGGTCCCTTTCTCCGCTGCAGGAGCAGTGTGCATACAGCCACTGGATTGGCACAGGCAAGTGCCCAGGCCATGGTTGATTGGCACGATCTCCCCGAGCAAACAAGCAGCTGGAGCTGGTTGGGAATTTTTCCACACGCCTTTTTCATCTAATAATGATTTCTCAAAACCAGAACTTTCTGCAGGAAAGGAGATTTGACTTGAAAATGTCAATGGAAAAATTTTGGGATTTTTTTTGTTTCAAAACTATGTGGTTTCTAAATTTAAGCTGTTTAACAACGGTTGAAATCAAAGGTAGCACAATGAAACATTACTGGGTGATCTAAGCTGAATTTTTTTTTCTTTTTGGATTGTCAAGATTTTGACTTTGTCCCAATTCAGGGTAGGGAGGAATATTTTGACATCTCAAAAATTTCTGCAGAATGGGAGAACGGATTCCTGCCCAGCTCTAACTGCAAACTACCTCCCCGAAGTTCCATATACTACCAAGCTGCTGCCCTTAAAGGGACTAAGAGCACTTTGTCTTTCAAAGAAAATGCACCACTAGACTATTCATGCAGCCTCTTCACTGGGTCAGCCAGCAATGTGTTAATTAGCACTGCCTCCCCATGTGTGATTGCGAAATACTGCCATCAAACTCTATCAAGTGTGGATCATATTTAATGGCAGTTACATTATGCTGCCCTCCTTAAATCATTACAAGAAGCAGCAACTGCTGCCAATTTTTCAGGGGTAGTTAGTGGAGAAAATTCACTGTGTAGAGAAAAGGGATGAAGTTTGTAGCAGGAGGCTCCTAGCCATATGATAGAGAGATATTGTTTCATTAAGGGAGACATGCTGACGGACAAGAAGTGTCTTATCATAATCTGCTGCACAATGAACTGGTGCATCAGGAGGTGCTGCTGAGACTCAGACAGTTCACTCGGACGTGGGCATGTTTTCTAGCAGATGCTGCCAACCTTGAGGCAGAGCCCTATTTGCTGTCTTGGGACAGGATCGAGGTGCTGCTCTGGATCAGCAGCAGTTACACAATTCAGCCACATTCCTGGAGTCCAATTCCAATGAAGAGTTACATGGTGAGTCAAATCTCTTCCAACACCAGGCTTGCTTTGCTCTTAAGAAGCAGAGTGAAAGATCACATTTAAAATGATGTTGGGTGTGTGGGCCAGCTTGCAGGAATTATCATCCCAGTGTGTTTTTTTGTGGGCTGATTGGGGGAGTGAGTGCAGCTTCACACCCGTAAGGATTGCTGTTGAGGCTTAGGACTGTCCACTGGCAGGTACAAGGGGAAGCTAAAGCTGTTCCAGGGAATGTGACAAAGCTGTGTACTCAGTTAAATTCTGATTCCTAGTGTGAGGTCCTTTACTGATGCCATCCATTGCTGGCAATGGATGCACCAAACTCAGCATTGACCAGGTGCTCCGGCTGCAGGGTTCACTGATCTCCTCTTATTTGTATAATTTGCATTTTTAGCCTGACCTCTACATGACATATGCTGGTCATTTTATGAAACTAGCACCAGTTCTGTGTATGCAATACAAAGATTTGACTTAACCCTGCTGGTCTGCTTCTTGTTCTGCAATGAGAACTTAAACCCTCATTTTCCCACTCCATTATATGCCAAAGCCCAGTGGTCTGGTTTCACACAGCAGTACAAGCCCTTCCTTTGCAATGGGGAAGAGGAGCAGTAACCTGGCTGGGGCGCTGTCTGAGCTAAATGTTGTTTTAAACTAAATGTAGAGAAGAGTGCTTGACCACTGGGGCTGGGGAGTCACCAGTTTCCCACTTCACTCAACAGTGGAAATAAACACATCAGTTTCCCTTTCTGGTTACCAGCTGTCACCACAGGACTTGCCAACTGCTTTTGGTTTAGGGTTTGTGCAAAAGACAACACATTATATTGAAAGGGCCCACACAAGGGATGTTTAATTTGCTGAGGCCAGTTCCTTTACAACATCACTTCTCCCTTGCGCTCCTGAAATTAGAGCCCAAGTCTGACTCCCATTAAGAACTGAAAGTAAAGTGCAGATTTCCGAGGCCCAGAGTGAGAGAAGACTGCTTCTCTCAGCCACCACCTAACCAAGCAGTGCCCTGCAATAAGAGGATGTAGAAAAGTTCTCAAATAGCCTTTAAACTACAGTACAAAAATGGAATTCTCAGGCCTCCCTTCCCAGAAGGGAGAGGAGGGGAGAGTTTAGTGATAAAAACTTGTATAAAGGGCACCACAGAACTTCAATGGCAGTTTTCTCCTTCAGGCAAAAGTTTGATGCACTCTCTTCCTCCCACCTGTTACTCAGTACCAGCTGCTAGCTAGAAAGGCACTATAGATCAGTTGTAACAATTTGCCAAGCCTAATGATTAGGTCTTCCAGCTGGCCAAGTACCCCCTTACTTGCTTTCATACAGTTTTGGGTTCAAGTCCTAAAAGTCTGTAAAATTTCAATTAGGCTTTTAAAAAGCCACACAGGCCATTTAATCCCTACTGTTTAGTGAGCCTCTGACACGAGGATTTCCTACCTTTAAAGTACCATAGAGACAGCAGAGCGTAGCCCGTGAAAGTGACACGGATAGTGAAAGTTAAAGCTGGGCTTGTCTTAGCTTCTTTGGTACAAAATCCCAAACTCTTTGTTTGCAGTAAGATCAAGGAAAGGGCTAAAGCTCTCACCTCAGAAACTCTTTCACTTGCACATTAACAAACCAACAGTGGGCAACAGCTTTCTATTTCACATTGGCCCTTAGCATCACTAACAAGTTTGGCACAAGCGTTAAATAATATAGAGATGCTACTGTCATGACTCATTCGCACTCTGGCTAGCAGCTAAATGCCACTTTTCCCTTCCTCCAAATTACAAACATGAAAGTTCCTGAGGTTTTTGGCAACTGGGTTTCCACCCTGCAAACTGTGACTCGTGTTCTGCAGGAAACAATAGGAGTGCAACACTTCTGCTTTTTCCATGCTGTTGGAGCAGCTTCCACAGGAGGGGTCAGGACATCTAGCTGCTGGCTGGCCACTCGCCTCCTGGACAGCAGGCGAAGCAACCTCACCTCATGCTTGGTCTGGAGCACTTGTCACCGTCCTGGTGTGGGTCTCGGTGGCTGCCTCGTGCAACTGACTTGCAGAAAAGGGCTGGGCTGTTTTTTCTAGAAATTTAGAACAGTTAAAAGGGTGAAGATTTTCAAAGGACAGACAGGAGCTGTTCAGGGTGGCTCTCATTCCAGTACCAGCCCTGGTGTGAACCCCTTTCCAAACACGTACAGCTCCTTGAAGGACAGAGGGGACCAGTGTGATCATCCTCTAGTCCGCCCACCTGCATAATCTGATTCTTGGGTCAAGGCTAATAGCTTCGAAGGGTCCTGTACAGCTCCAGACGCTCAGGGCAGGTTCAGCTAAATGTGAGTGAGTGGCATTGCACCTCCAGGCACCAGGTCACAACACCAGTGGTGCAAATCTGTCCCAGCCAGCCCCTCCCCCATTATCATGGTAGAGGGGTGGCTGGGCCAAATATGACCAGCGCTGTGACCCTGTGCAGAGCATGGCAATGCCCGCTGCAGGGTGAGTGGGGGTGGACTCTACACTGCACCACCCCCATCTCCCCAGGCAGGATCTGATACCCTCCCTGCCATCAACGTATTTACTGGGTTGCTGCAGGCCATCAACAAAGGTTGAAAATCACTGCACTAGACTCTCTCTTTCAGAAAGACATTCAATCTTGACTGAAAAAAATCCACTACAACCCTTGTTCTAAAGGTGACCTGCCCTCACCAGTAAAGTTTACATTATTTCCCCCCATGAATTTGGCTCAGTTCTACTTCCAGACATTCTATCTTGGACTTACCAAGATCACGTCTGTTATAATACTGCTAATTAACAAAACCCTCTCCCCCGAATTGAGGAAGAGCCCAAATCAATAATCCAGCAAACTGTCCCTGGCTGCAGTAACTGGGGGGAATCAGTTGGCTCCAAAGTACTTTTGCTCTTAATTCAATCTCCTCTTCCATTTCTCAACTCCCACTACGGGTTGGTTTCTCTTACCTTCACCTAGGAACATGGGTTTAGTGGCCAGAAGCACATCCACATTACAATGTTGGGCCAGTGCATCTAAAAGGACTTGCCCCTCCTTCTGGAAGAGGAAGACAAGGGGGATGACTATGTCACTAGTGCTTCCATCTCCCACCATCTGGAACAGAACCATCTTCTCACTGCAGCTGCCTTCAGCATTGTCTACAGAAAGGGAATAAGAGAGCCCATTTTAGGGTCAGAGCTGGGAGCATTCTCCTACTTCAACATACTGTCACACTCCATGCATTGTACTGAAGTGCTGGCTGCTTATGGGGCAGATTTGGTCTGACCCACAATTTTAGGCTGGTAGGACACTTGGAGGTCACTTGTTCTTACTTGTATTGACCAGGGGGGAGCAGGGCTCAGATGCCAAAGGTAACTGCAATTCCTGCCCCCATAAGCCACAAGCAGTAGGCACAAGCCTGCAGTATTTTTCTTTACATCAAAGGACAGGTACACATGGTACCTCGGTGAGCTTTTCCCCTCTAACCTCCATCGAGCAGGCAAGGGTTTTGCAATAAACAGACACTAAAGGTGCCCAATGCTCTTCTGGTGCAAGCCCCTGTTCCCAGCCCCAAGGACAAGCTTTTGCCCCCTAGAGAAGAGCTTTTGCTCCCAGCCATCTCCATGACCGCATCAGAATACCCAATGTCTCCCAGCCCCCTCCAACTCCTGCACTAGTGCTGTATGCACTTGAGAAGACCCAAAGACGGGGTAATAACAGTGCTCGAGACTCACCGATGAAAATCACCCCCGAAGCTCCTGCTTTCTGCAAGTTCCTGGCTTTGGCAGCAAACATGCATTCGCCTCTCTGGGCCAGAGCCACTTTCCCTTGCACCGCCTCCCGGTTGGTGATCGCTGCACAGGCCTGGTAAGGTTCACTCAGCACTAAGCTTCCTTTCACCTGCAGTGACACACACACAGATAAGCTCTTACAGCCAGGCCAGTCCTTCGGGCTCAGTGTTTGTAGCACACCTAGCGCAGTGAGGGCTGTAACCAGGGCTCACAGGCAATACAAATAATCTATAACAATGGGCTATTTCTGTACCAGTGAGGTTGTTCCAATTTCCTAGGGATACTGCGGCTCAGGAGTGGTGTGAGATGCACCAGTCAGCTTGCTGTGTAGGATCTCTACTTCATCCCTTTCATATAAGACAGAGGGTGCATTTACCACTGTAGAGGCAGCGAACAGCTGAAGTAAGGGGTGTATACACCTTGCACGGCATAGACAAGACCCCTAGGCTAGCTTCTCTCTCTGTGCAAACCTCCCTCCCCCATACCATCCTGCCAGTTCCCAAAACCATTTGCATCATGCATTGGGTTGTGGGCCTTGGCTTCTCCTCGGCACAAGTTCACAGAGACAAGCCCACGTTGCAGCCCCTGTGGGCTATTAACATGGACCTAAAGAGCAATTACAGCTGCCCAGGACGATCCCCAATCTCTGCCTGCAGGCTTCACTCCTTGGAGCAGGAATGTTGCTTCATTTAAAAATAGATCAAACTTCTGGGCAGAATTTTTATTCACCTGATTTTTATTATTATTATTTTTTTTTTTAATCCATCCAATCCAGGAGCAGAAACAAGGCCAAGTGATTTGGTGACCAATCACATAGCACCAATAGTGAACACGCAAAGCAAACAATTTGGAAAATTATTCAGCGAATCTACCCCACATGCGGTCACAGAAAGCCAGGCTCAGCTGGGAAGCCGAGGGGGCTTTCGGTCACTCAGCTCTAAGGCCCAACAAGGAGAAGCAGGAATGGTTAAGACACAACCTGGCCCGGCTTTTAGCAATGAAAGAGTCACCCACCCCGTGTTCCTGTTTGGTCAGGTCCATTCCAAACTGGGCTGGTCCAGCGGTGAGTACCATTCTCCCAAAAAAGGGGGGAGAAATAACTTGGACAGCCAGCGGGGAGACGCCTTGCTGCTCTCCTGCAGGTGGGTCGACCAGCTCGGTGATGAATTTCAGGCTGAAGAGCCCCAGGGGAGAAGCTTCTTGCTGCAGAGGGGGAGAGACAGCACTGTACGGGCTCTAGCAGGCTAGTCTCACAGAATAACCGGTGGGCGCTCCATCCACCTTACAAATTACAGCGTGGAGCCAGGGGAGGGGTGCCAGGGCAGGACTGTAGTGCAGCACAGAGAGGGGACTGTGCCACAGGCTCATTCTGACCCCGCTCCAGCTCAGCTCCCCCAGAATGGAGCAAACCCTCCTCACATATCCCCCAGGACCAGCAAGAGGTTTAATTAGCATATCTGTTAGAGATCCTTGGAGGAAAACAACACTACATGGCAATGATGGACAAAGCATTTGGAAGGCTGATTTATGTGACCACCAAGAGAGCTGCAAAAACTTGGCTGCTTGATAGAGTTTGGGCTTTAGACATTGCAAGGAAACAGGAGGAGGATCCTTTAAAGCAGTTGTTTGAAAGACAGACTCAGCTGTTGGAGGTGATCTTGGGGCAGGGTCTCATTAACTGCCCTAGCAAGGGAGAGCCTCCAGCTGTTCACATACAGCTAGCAGTTCACAGAGGAAATGGTTAGTCATGGAAGCAGCTCAGCTGCAGTTATCCCTACGAGCAAGCAATTACGCAGGCAACTGGAGCTGGGAGGAATCATGCCAGGAATTCTCACACTGGCCTTCCAAAGTGACCAGCAGCAGGCAGAGCACGTCTGCCACGCACGGCACACTGGGCGCTCACCTGGTGTCGGATGCCAGTCAGCTGCACGCTCCGGTCACCCAGAGGGAGCAGGGTCAGTCCCATTCTCTTCAAGATCTCCAAGGGCTCCATCCTGGTATCACGGAGCGGGAACTCAATCCCCCTGAGGGAGACCAGGACCAGCCATCAGAGTCAAGGTGACAGCAACACAACCCGTCCCAGAACCATGCAAGCCCAGGGTCCAGCAGACAAAGATCTAACAAGATCCAACATCTGGAAGTTAAAGCTAGACAAATTCAAGCTGGAAATAGGGTGTCAATTTTTAAGGGTGAGTGGGATTAGCGAACAGACCCCATTACCAAGGGGTGTGGTGGATTCTCCATCACTGGCAATTTTTAAAACCAAGATCAGTTTTTTCTAAAAGACCTGCTCTAGTTCAAACGCAGCTATTGGACTTGAAGCAGGAATTCATGGCGGGAAGTCTTAGGTCAGACTAAATTATCACAGTGGTCCCTTCTGGCCCTGGAATTTATGACTCGACAAAAGCCCATGGGAGTTACACAGGGGTTGCCACGCACCTGAAGAGTGCCAGGCGCTCTGCTCCTGGTTGCAGCAGCTGCTTGTGGGCATCCCGGATGGTGCGGGTGAAGGTTGGGTTATTGGGGAAGAGAGTCTGCGCGCTGGGGCAAGAACGGGTAAAAATCTCCTCCTCTCCATGGCCCTTGTGAAACATCTGCAGTGAAAGAGACAGGGATCTATTTCTTCTCTCCTCTCGTGCAGCCCCTGCGTTTGTATGAACAACGGTCCAGCACTGACTTTATCCTCTAACACTCAGCAAGGGACCGGCAGAGCCGCTCAGCCACTCCAGTGACCACATCAAGGCCCGTGGCTTGTCCCTTCTAGTTCTGAAAATCCATTAAAAACTCAATGTCAGATGAGCTCAGGCACGTGGAACTCACTGGTCAGTGAGTGTCGTGTGTCCCCACATCCCACAGTGCCCCATTCACAGAGGATGAGAGTCTCTGGCAGTTTAGCTCAAGCTGTACAGATCCTCCTGGCTGTTACCTGTGGAGGGGCAGCATGGCCTAGCGTTATGACACCAGACTGGGACTAAGGAAAACCTGGGTTCTATTCCCAACCCTGCCACTCGTTTGCTAGGTAACCTTGGGCAAGTCACTTCCCATTCCCAGGCCTCAGCTTCCTCCTCTTAGAGAGTGAGAATGATACTGATCTGCTGAGGAAGAGCACTAGATATGAAGAGCTCAGTGGTATTATCCCTCTGTGGGGTGCCACACACGCATTGGCAGGGGAGGGAAGCCCTGGCTGCACAAACACCAGCCCCCCCCCGATGTTTCATAGCAACACCGACCACGTTTTAAAAATAAAACTAGATACAGCAGTAAGCTGCCTAAGGGATTCAGAAACCCAACTCCTATTGGAAATTCTCTCTCTCTCAGGCTGGGACCCAACACAGCTGGTTTTAAACCTTGAAAAATTACCAGCCAAGTTGACCGCCTCCTCTGAAACCAGCCATGTGCCCTAGAAGTCACAGACGCAGTCATAAGCTGCTGTGAAGCTAAATACGCCCCGGCACCCTTAAGAAGCCTACGGCTGACGTACAGTCACGTTCCTGGGGCAGGGGGACCGGGCGGTGGAGAGCGACAGGGGCAGCAGGTGGGCCTCGGTGGTGAAGATGTAATCGTCAATGTCTAGAGGCAGATCTCGCTTCTCTGTGAAAAGCAAGTAGAGGTACTTAAACATCTCGGCCAGGAAAAAGGAGTCCATCCTGCATGACAAACAGAGACAGGTGTGAGAGGCTGGGCCTGCTGAGAACGAGGCAGCAAGAATTGAAAGAGCCCGTAAAAATGTATTCACGTCCCTAAGAATCTCTGGGGAATCATGTCAATCCTCTTTGCTTTGCCCTGTCTTGAGATGGCTGGGAAAAGCAACCCCAGAGGTCTTCCCTCTACCTTCAAGACTCACATTGCTGCTGCGGAAATGCTACCTTGTCACTTCATACAGCAACCCCCCCAGGAGATGGTATTCCTACCTCCACTGCAGACAGAGAACACATAAAGGGACTAGATTGTCTTTCAATCCAACATGGCTCAGAATTGACCGAGGACTACTTCTCTCCAGAGAGATTCGGACCCGTTTGCTACCCTTGTCCCTCCCTTCTGTTGGCTTCCGTGCATCAGTCATTAGATTTAGACTGCGCAATCTTCAAGAGAAATGGCCACATCTTTATGTCAGTGAAGCACTGCATAAGCTCACACCTCTAGAAATTTCGCTTTCATTAAACTAGGGTGCCCCGTGGAATCGTATGAAGAGGAGGGTGGAGGTTATGATCTTCAGATAAGTCTGAGACAGACTCCAGAAGATTAACCTGGTTTGGCCAAATTCAGTTCAGCACAGCTGCAGGGCAAGGCAGTTCTGTTCCAGCGTTGTACTCACTGGACAAGGCTTTAAACACTTCCTTCACAGGGTAGTGACATGGTCACTGTGAGAGCACAGCGGGACTCACACACACTGCACCATCCCCACACGCACTGCTCAAGTCGGTATTAATAACTAAGTGTTCCCTGACTAGCCAGGACAAGAGGGAAATCTCCCGATTTCCCACCACATCAGAGATCAATCAGGACAATAGCTATGAGACCAATAGGTTGTCCTGTGTTGGGTGGCTTTATTGCTGGTGATGGGGTTTATTGGTAGCATTCTAACTTACTTCAGTATAACGTATGTCGCTCAGGGGCGTGAGTACTCCACACTCCTGAGCGACAGTGCTCAGTGTAGACAGCACTATGCCGGCAGAAGAGCTTTCCCCCATCTGCTTAGAGCGTCTTCACCAGACCCTCTCCAGCAGTGCAGCTGTACGGGTGCAGCGCTTCTGGTGTCGACTAACCCGAAGGTTGTGTCTACACAGCAGCTGGCAGGTGTAATTCCCAGTGCGGGCAGACATACATGCGTAAGCCATGCGAGAGCTTGCACCAAAAAACAGCAGCGTGGGTGGCAGCTCAGGCTAGTATGTGCCCAGGGGGTCAGGCAGGATTTGTACCCTGATCTTGCTACAATGTCTTTCCACTGTCAAGAAAAACCACCATCATCCCTCTCTACTTCTGGGGGGAAATGAAACCCAAGTGCATTAGGCTCCAGTCCTGCATCTGAACCCCTGTAGACAGCCCCCATGTCATTGGTGCGCAGGTGCAGGGACTCACCAAACAGCACTCACCCACACAGCTCCAATTAGCCGATCCCAAAGATATGGCCCATTGACCCAGGACCTCCCATACCAGACACCAGCTGCATGCCCATAATTCCCCACTGGCCCATCCCACTCCTGGTTAGCCCTACCCCATGCCCGTACAGTGCTCCCCTCTGCCCAGAAAGGAAGGGGGTTTACCTGTCCTCATGTCGGCCCGTCCGTACATCCTGCACCGCCGCAAAGCCGCAGGCCACCCGGGCATACTCGTTCAGGCTCTCTACAATGGACTTGCCCACCTGGAGGTAGTAGGGGTCTCGGGTAGCCTTGGAGAGAAAACAATTGCAATTCAGTATGCCACCAACTTGCTCTCTTCCAAGCACAGTGAAGTCCAAGGGAAACGGTGGCTCATTCACAGATAGATATGACAAGTCACTAGCCGCAGGGTCAATCCTGGATTGCCATCCCTTAGGGGAAGGGAGTGAAGAGATCCAAATCTCCACTCCCTGTGAAGAACACTCAGCCAGCTAAGGGATCTGACCAACTCTCACACCCCAGCCGCTTTAGAACAAGAACTTCAAAAGTCAGCCTGGAATAAGAGCAAGTCACCAATCAGCCAGGAGCTGCCACCGCATGCTCTTCTCTCCTCCAGCTACAGCCTGCTCTGGGAGTGATGGCAACCTCCGGCCTGATACTCCTTTGCTGCTTCTTTGGAGGAGTTAAACACATCCACTTTCAGCTTGTTGGTGTTTTCAGCCAAACGACGGGACGGGACTAACCTTGTACAGGAAGTAAGTACTCTCGGCAAACTCTGGCCGCAGAGGATGCTGGGCCCAGTACACGGCAAAGTCGGACGTGAACGCCTTTAACGAAGGGAGAGAGCAGACTAAGATACAAGCTGCCATTTTCACAACAGAGACACTGAGGGCTTGTCGACATGGAGACTTAGTGCGTGGCAAGCCACTACGTAAGTCTACAGCACACTAGCTTACCGGGCACTAAATTGCCATGTGGACCCTACTCCCACGCACAAAGAGTTCCCTAATACTCCCGCTTGAAACGGCAGTACGTCAACGCGCAAGACCCTTTAGTGCATGAACAATGCATGTTCAGACGCTGCCAACTGGGGGCCCGATGCAAATCCACTGGAGTCAGCGAGAGTTTTCTATTGACTTCCACCAGCTTTGGAGCTAGTGAGGTGCAGAGATGGGAGAAGAGCGTGAAAGGCCGTAGAGCCTTTTGCTTTGGCAGCTAAGGGCATTTCAATCTAGAGGCTGGGAGGAGTGTGCTAGGGTCCAACTCAGAAGGGGCCGCGGTTACAGCATAGTTATGAAAACCATATAAAGGATTAAAGGTGCAAACGCTTGAATCCCTGTCCCCATATTGAAAAGCCCACAGATGTCAATGGGAGTTTATCTATTGACTTCAGTAGGCATTGGATCCAGCCCCTAATCCTTGTCATGGAAGCTAGAAAGAGAACACAGGTGAAGGTTCGTAAGAGTCTGCAGCAAGGAGCATCAACTCCTGGAATATGTCTGCCCCTGGCTGGGCATCTCTGGAGCGGTCATAATCCCACCCCGGCACCCTCTGCTCGGTGTTGCAGTGATGGGGTCACTCAGCAGCAGAGAGGATACTGTGCCTGGTACACAGGGTGAGAACATGGGAGGCTGAAGGAGGGACGGATTTTTCCCTCCATCACAGCTGCTGGGGGGCCGCGCCCAGAGACTGCGCCCAACAAGATAGCAGTGCAGTGACAAGGGGAAGCAGCTCGTTCACTCACCTCTGGGAGGAATTTGTGTTGCTTGGTGACCTGGTACAGCATCTCGTGCGTCTCGATGGCAGGCTTCAAATCCCCCCTTAGCACCTGGGGGCAGACAAAAACCCTTGTTTCTCTGGGGCACAGCACAGTGATAAAAACAGCCTCAGGGCAATCACGAGGCATCAGAAACGCTCCCAGCTCATAACAGTGACAGCCCGGATCGCAGTGAGGAGGAGAAGCAAGATCCTTGCTTGGGGGTGATTTTTATACAGCACCAGCACACGCGCGTTAGTGAATTTAGTGCTAGTCAAAGATGCCGGCTGGCTGGCACTGTATGCACAGGGCAGACACAGCAAGGCAAGGGCTGTGTAAGCTGCACTCCTATTAGCCCACCAATATGACTTACCCCTTGGGGAGGGGGCAGCACTAGGGGGTGAGAGAGGATTCCAGTCTAGTCCCATTCAGTCTTTGGCCTCACTGCTGCCACCCAGAGGCCAACAAAGGGAGGAAGATACTTAGTGCCAGCTACATGGATGGTGGGGTTTGTGATGCAGAGAGACAGCCACAGAAGCTGGGCTGAGCCTCCACCAACTCATTTCACAAAAAGGTTATAACTCTCCCACATCAGCCATGATACACCTGCTACTGCCTCCTAGCCTACACCCTGGGGAAGGAGGGAAGGTATTTCAGTTTCAACCACTACCGCCCTGTCCCACAGCCTATGTCCTCCTGGACACATTTCCCTGATTCACCTTGGGGTGTACTCTTGGGCCACCACCGAGCCAGGCTGACTGGATCAGCCAGGGCCAGAATGTTTGACAGATGAACATTTGGAAACATTTCACCTAACAAGATGGCTTGCAGCACATGTCTCCAGGAGCCCCAAACCTGGCCCCAGGATCAGCTTTTGCAGGAACACAAAGGTTAGGAGGGAAGGAAAAGTGGTTAGGGCACAAGCCTGCAATTTGGGACACCTAGGTTCAATTCCCAGCTGTGCCACTGACTTGGGTAACCCTGGGCATTTATCCTCGCTGTGCCTCAGTTCCCCATTTGTACAATGGGGATCCTAGCACTGCTCTGCCCCAAGGCATGGGAGGCTAAATACACTGAAGACTGTGAGGCACGTACATGCTATGGTAACAAGGCCAGATATGTACCTGAGCACAGAACGCTGGCTCATGACACATCAGCTAAAGGCCGTACAAGCGCTGAAAAGCAGAACCGTCGGTTAATTTCAGGCAGTCCAATTGGGTGAAGGCGCCTACCCCACTAAAGGACCCTGCCTAGCGCTCTTTTTACATCAACGCACCTTTCACAGTCCTGCACCTGAGCACAGCCCCATTCAAACCAACAGCTGGTGTTTATTTGTCAGAGCCCCACGCCACACGGCACTGCCGATCCCCTTCCGCCCAAGGCTGCTGCTGTACCTGGAGGCCAGGGAAGAAGGCCAAGAGGGAGTCCATCCAGCTCCGGATACTGACTGTGGGATTGTGCATATGGACGTTGAGCAGGAGGGGAGGCTGGCTGATGTATTTCATTATGGCCACGTAATGCTAGAAAGAGATGGACACAAACTCTGTTATCCAACCAGCAGGAAAGAGCTCTCTGTAACCCAGTAAGACGGCAGGGAGCAGCAGAGTAGGGAGGGCTTAGAAAGATCTTACAATTCAATAGGAAGGCTCCTCTGTGGAGAACTTGGGAATCTGGGACCATCTCTGACAACGTGCCTAAATAGGTCAGTCACAGGACACTGTGGGCATGTCTTGTCCACGCTCACACAACTCAAACGATCGAGCAGGGCTGGTTCCAGCTCAGTCTGAAGAAACATTCGCCTAGTGGCCAACAGTCAAGCACTGATCATTTCTGCCACCAAGTCCTTATGAGCAAGCGGAAGAGCATTTGCTGGCATCACCTACACTAACTGAGGAGAGGCTCCAAATGCTGCACGAGTCTCCCCATCACCTCTCTCATAAAGGACACTGAGCTCTGCATCCTGTCAATGAAACGGGGGCTCCAAAACTGGCACTTGCTGGAAAGAAAGCAGCAACGTGTTTGTGGCAGCAGAGCGATGCACCTCCCCCCAGCACTGGCCACAAGTTCCTACTCAAGCGCAGATGAGCGAGGAGGTGCCGGAGTGGCCTGCCAGCTCCTGACCACCTGCTGCATGCCTGGCATGCTGCCACTGGCTGCTAAGCAGAAGCCATCAGCAGTTGCTCCTGTGAAAGGAAACGGATGCAGACAGACTGCGCAGCAGAGGGTCTTTCATTGGCAGGTCAAGCTGGCCTTGCACCTTCAAAATGGATTCTCAGATGGAAGAGGGGTTAGGGGAGCAATGGGCTATCTACCCCGTTCCTCCAGAGGGGAACGGAAAGGAGAGACCACTACCCTGTGTACTCACAGCGTTGAACCTCTCCAGGTAGGTGTCGTCCCCCAGGAGGATATACGCCTTCATTAGGTATTCGTAGTAAGAGTCTATCCCGGCTCCGACGCCGCTGTCTAGGGAAAAATCACAGGCAGGGAACCATGGGAGCCTTACCCAGAACAGGCATCCAAGAAGAGAAGAACGTTGCAGCCTCCTTTGCCCCGTGTGTCTTGGCACCGCCCCTCGGGGGTCTACGCCGTACTGACACCCTCACATCTCCCCACCAGCGCTGGCCAAACCATCAGCAAGGCCGTCGCCGGCTACGTCCCGGCACTGACGTCGAAGAAGAGGAGGAGCATTCTTCCCCTTCCCAGGGCGGCGCAGGGCAAGTGGCACCCACCTTCGGCACGCTCCCAAACTCAGCTCTGCCCAGGGCCAGCTGGGACAGTGCCACAGCAGAGAGCTGCAGGCTGGCAGGGGGGCACTGGCTCTGGGACTGCCAGCGGGTTGTTCTGGTTCCCCACCATCCACAAAAAGGTGGTGGAAGGCCATTCCAAAGCACTCTGGCACAACTCAAGCCCTGCCACTGCACCAAAGTGCACAGGAGACTGCGGTACCAGCCGACACATCTCTGCCCCGAGGCAGCCGCGTGACACTGGGTGTCCCTTCAGGCCCCCAGCTGCGAGCCTTGGAGTCACTTACCCCTCCGGACCCAGTCCCCATTATGAATGTTGATGACCGTCCCCACCAGGTCGTTCCCTTTCTGGCGCTTCTCCCAGAGAACATCCAGCGCTCTCCGAGCGGTGTCCTGAGAACAGAGAGGAATGAACGTACACAACACAGTCTTTCACCCTCCCCTCTACCCAGGAACATGCAGGAGTTGTTCCTATGCCATTCCTTACACTTATTAAAAAGACCCACCCTACAGAGCGAGGGGACAGCATTGGGGACCAGGCCCTACAATAGGGCTCAGGAGCTTTGGGCTCTGCCATTAACTGTAAGCTTTGACACTTCTGGCTTTGCCTCAGTTTCCCCACCTGTAAAATGGGGGTGATAACACTTCTCAAGCCCATGGGGATAAATCCAGCCCTGTATTCCACGCACTCAGGTTCCACTCAAAAGCAGAGACATAAAATAGAATCATCTCCCCCTTCACGCCCAGATTGTTCCCCTCCTCCCACCCCGCCCCGGTTTGTTCCTACTGCTTAGCCAAAGCAACGTCCATTTCGCTAAATCCTGCACAGTGCTCTGGGGTGGCATGTAGAGCGCTCACTGATGGGAGGAGCACAGCACAGACCAACTCTACGCTGAGCTGCCTGCCTGGATGTTTTACATCTCCCAGCTGCCCGCAGTACCAACCAGCGCCAGGCAAGGGACTCCATTTACAGCCATCCCTCAGATTCCAGCAGGGCAGCGGGAGGGTGAGCAGATGTCCTGATATTATCGGGACCATCCCAATATTGGGGGCTTTGTTTTATATAGGCTACCAATTACGACTTCCCCCAGCTCCCAATTTTTCACACTTGTTATGTGGTCACCTAGGTCAGGGTTATGCGGGATTGCTCACTTGCCCACCCTCCACCCCCATTTAGCCTGTAGATGAGGATGGAGCTGGGATTCTGCCGACATGTGAGCGGATGGGCAGCATGAGGTCTCCATTAGGCTAAATGCACATGGCACGGGGCCTGTGGATTCCCAGTGGCCGTGCGACATAGGGGCTAGCGGAGAGCAAGGGGACGGATAAGCAGCAGCTGGAGGGCTTGACAGAGCATGTCTGGCTCCTGGCATTGAAGGGCTTTGCCCCATCTCTGTGCAAGTACAAGTGAATCAGTGCAGACCACGGAGAGGCACTGTGAAATGAAGGGCCCCCCACATTCTGGGCTAGCTAACCCAAGGGACTCCACCAGGTCTGCACAGAGGATCTCCTCAGGCAGGAACGAGTCACATCCGTGTGCTTTTCCCTCGAGCTTCCAAACCACTTACTTCAAAAACAGTCTCTTGTGTCAGGCGACTGAGGGCAGCAAACTCCAAAATCATGGTGCCCGCGCAGGCCGTGCAGGTGTCCAGCTCGGTGCCTGTCCGGGAGTTCGGACTCAGGACCCCATACTTTAGGTTCACCTGGATGGACAGACGCTGCCTCAGTTTCACTGGGTGTTTTCCCTCATACTTGTCACATGCGGCAATGAGGTTATTCTACTTCGGTGCAGCACTCTGTCCTGCAATGCTTTACAAAGCATCTGCCAAAATGCAGCCACCTCTGGGGTGGAGGGTAGGAATCAGCTGGCATGCAGCACATTGCATCACAGCAAGGAAAGGGGTATTCTGGCCAAGAACTTGGGCCACACATGCCTTATTGTCAAGGAGATCAGGAAACCTTTATCACCCACACAGGGCAGGAAGGATTATAAACAGCCATCTGGAAGTGCCCCTCTCCCCCCCATAAGCTGCATGGAATCTGTTCTACCTCCTGCAGCAGGATGCAGTGGTCCCTATAGCTGCAAGGAACTTGGGTGCCTCAGATGTGAAGCAACAGCCAGGGCAATGCAGAGCCACCTTAAGAGAGAGCATTGAACCCCCTTCAGTCACTCAGATGTGCTGGGATTATGGGGCTATTATGCCAAGAAGGGTCAGCCCCACCCCTGCCCACACCGCCCTCCTGGGCGTCTGAGTCAGAGAAATGGCTTGTCAAGGTGGGTAGCACTCAGCGGGAGGCTCTGGGGAAGCACACAGCCCGCTGGGACCCACATGTGGCTCCCGACCCCGCAGACCTTATTGGTGCTCTGTTGTGTCTGCCCACGCCAGTTCACACAAAGCTTCCCCTCGTCCCGGCTCAGATCTGCCATTCCCTTACCCTGGGGTACGGCAGCCCGCTGGTGGTGTTGAAAGCAGGCAAGAGACGATACCCTAAATCCCGGGCCAGGTGCAGGAGCTCGTCCTTGTACCACTGCAGCCGCTCACCTTGTGCCTTCAACATGTCGGCCATGATGTGACCCCCCAGCAGGCCCCTGCAGGACAGAGGGGGAGGAGGGGACAATGCAGAGCGGCGTCAGGCTGCTCAGAGGGACTCTGCAAGTTGAGATCCCAGATGGCCCATTTCAGGAGCTTGGCGCTCACTTTCCTCTGCTGGGATGAGGAGACGCTAGACCAGCTGGGCCCCTCTGCACCCGCCACGCAAGGCCCAGAGGGTGCTGTCCCCACTCTCCACCCCCATTGAATCCAGTGTTCACACAGCAAGCAGCTTTCCCCCTCTTCCCCAGAGCCACTTCTGCACCCTCACACACCACCCAGATCCACTGCACCGAAGAGCCGCGCTGCAGTGCATCCGACAGAGCCCAGGCTCACCGGGTGGGCAGCACATGCCTGGGCAGTGAGCTGAAGGGGACAGATGGGGGGGGGGGGGGTGCACAGCCTTGGGAGTGCAAGACACTGGCTCAGTGCTCTAAAGGACTGCACAAAAGGGGCCCTGCCTGCCAGCGCCCAGGGCTCCTGCCCCCGCCTGGGGCTCACCCCAGCACACGAATGTTGGTTTCAAAGACAGAGACCACCACGTCGTTGTCCAGCCGCACGTCCAGGACCACCTTCCGCACAGCGTCCTCAAACTCATCCAGCTTGTTAAGGACCTGGCAGCAAGAGCCATGGGAGAGAAGAGATTCGGGTCAGTGACATGGGACCCTCTCCACTGCCCTTGTGAGGTGTGTACAGCCCCTAGCACACTGCTGGGTACTAAATAAATGACAGTCACAACAGCAATTCACTGATTGATCACATTCCAGCTCGGCGTCACCTACTTGGACACGCCGTTTCAGGGAAAGCTGGACCTTCCCATAACCCAGCAGATCCTGGTAATTTTGGTGTACACCTCCCCGCCCCAGGGTCCACCTCCCAGATCCCTGGGAGGCAGGGCAGTGCTGTTTGGGGAAATGAGACACAGAAAGGCTTGTCCATGCTCACACAGGCAGTCTGTGGAGGAGCAGAGAATTGAACCCACGTCTGCCAAGTCCCAAGCTAGCACCCTAACTACTAGGCCATCCTCCCCCTCAGATTTGCTTCTTGGCTCACTATCTCAATGTGGGCACCTCAGGTCAACATTGCCAACAGTAGCAGGAGCAGGGACTAAACAAGCGTACGAGGGGTCCCTGGGCTGCCAACTCATGATTTCACTGTGAGTCTCCCAATATTTGCCATTTGTTATTTTGTTTTGTTTTTTTTAAAAAAGCCTCCGATCCCAAATTCAAGTGATTATATCAGAATCTCAGCGTCTTTTAGAGAAGAGAGTTCCCAGCCGTCAGAGAGAACAGCTTCAACCCGTGGCTTGAGTGCACACTACAGGTTTAAAACCCAGAAGGCAAAGAATAAGAACCCACACTTTATACTAGAGTGCTTTTAAAAATCCCCTGATTTCATGGGACCTGACTCATGATTTTCGAATGCTCGGGGCGGGCAATACCAGTGGGTGCATTGTGGGAGGGGCAGCACAGCCAGAAGGACACTGCGGACTCTGGAAAAGCATGGCCAAGAAGGGAGGATGACTGCAAGCTCTTTGGGACAGAAACTGTGTTTCTGGTCTGTGTTCGTACAGCACCTAGTACAATGGGGCCCTCACCCATGACCGAGGTGACTAGGACCTACCACAATACAAACACACACACACACACACACACACACACACACACACAAATAGGAATAGATTAAGGTAGCTAAATAAAGCCAGGATCGTAGAATAGACGACAGGATAAGGAAATACACAGGATATAATGAAGGAAAAAGAAGCTGAAGATAGACAGAAGCAGAGAAAGGAAAGCATGCCCTGAATTGATCTCTACTGCATCAATCAACATAGAATCTAGGCCGCAGAAAGGGGCTCTGGGAGAGAAAATTAACTGAAGATGGGAACATGTTTTGAATGAACGAGCATTAATTTTTCTGTTCATCACTAGGGGGAAGAATGCAAAGAGTAAGATGCATTAACAGAGAAGGAAAAGAGGAGGATACGAGACACTAATAAATTATGGAGACGAACAGGGGGAGGGGAAAATCAGGGAATCTAGGCTGTAGCACCTAGAAGTCTCAGCTGAGATCAGGGCCCCATCGTGCAAGGCATCAGACATATTAAGAGACAGTCCTTGTTCCAAAGAGCATAACAAAGAGTATGTCCAGGAAGGTCATTTTTCATTTTGATTATATTCTCTTTTGTAAGCAAGAAGCAATCATGCTAAAATGTGAGATTTCCTGGCTTTAACTGCATTGCTTTCAAACACATACTGTCTGCTTTTATCTCCACGGAATACATAAAGCACAAACACTAAACCCTGTACACAACACAACACTACTGTTTATCCCCATTGTGCAGTGGTGGAAGCTAGGGTCAAGTGACTTGTCCAAGGTTAGACAGTCAGTAGCAAAACTGGTAAGAGAACCCAGGAGTTCTGAACAGACCTGCATGAGGGTTTGCTGATCCAGTGGTTCTGGCTTTCATTACAATCCTGAAATTTGGGGCAGGTTTGGCTCCAGAGTTCCACAGCCTTTCGGCAAGCGTAAGCCAAGACCTGGTCTGAGAAGAAACCCAAGCAAAGCTTGGGAGTGGGTTCAGCAGTGATTCACCTGCAATGGCTGGGTTTGTTTAGCACTCAGATGAGCTATGCCTGGGGGGTGGAGGGAGGCCGTGTGGACTGGGATAGAGAGAAAAATCAAAAGTCTGCATGAACTCCCTGGGCCAAATCTGTTTTGTGCACTAACACTTGACAATGCTCCAGCCACTAGACAATACTTCCTCCTGTGTCCTATTGAAAACAAGTCTCCCCACTCTAACCACCACTGAAGATGCCCCAAGAAACTCCTGATCCTAGGTATATTTTAATTGCACTTTGACCCCAAGCTTGCCCATCAAGAATGTGAGAGAAGCCCTACAGCTTTAAGGTCAATTCTTAGCTTGAAAAGAAGCAAAAACAGCAGAGGGAAACGTACAGTCCAATACACAAGAATGAAATGGAAACCCCTCTGTGCCAGGAACTCAATCTTGCTGTTGACAGATACCAATGCCTGTAAATGCAGACACCACTGAAATCCAGCTCAACAGATCTAAACCTGCCAAATCCCCAATAAACTGGTCTGAGAAGCAGATTGCTGACTTACCACAAGCGTATCCAAAGTGTCAATTAAAGTGAGGGAAAACCTACAGATTTAAATGAAAAACAAAAACAAAAAAACCACATTTTAAATTCTGATGAAAATTAGGTCTTAGAAAGTGAATTGGACCAGTTAGCTGAAAACACATAACAAGGGGCAGATTTTCTGACCTTGACACTTGCAAAAAAATGCACTTGTACAATTTGTGCCATTATTCACGCAATTATTGTAACTGTGCACACAAATGGACACAACCATCTGTGCATGCCACTTGCAAGGGCAAAAGCAATCTTTGCACTTGCACATTAGATGTATAAATATTCATCTAGAGAGTCTCCTGAAAATCTGACCCATGATATTCTAGCTAGAGTAGGTCAACATTTTTATTCAACTTTTATTTTTTTCCCTTTTGATTGAAATGATGTGGGGGTTTTTTGGTTTTTTCCCCCACCCAAAACACAAATCTCTGCAGTAAGTATCCATTTGCAACAACTTTTTTCAGGTTTTCACTGAAAAACCAAAAGTGTCAGCCAAACCTGAAACATTTTTGATTGCTGAAAATGTGTATTTTTGTTATTGTTTTTTTTGATAAACAATATTGTGCAGAAAAAAATTCCTCAGAATTTTCTGCAAGAACAAAAACTGTTTCCTGACCAGTTTCATTCTGTCCCTCCTTGGTCATGAGGGGGAGAAACAATGCACTTTAATGGTGGAGACTGACATTACAAATAGCACCTCCACTTCCCCTCTTAAGGATCCTTCCAGCAGAAGATCTGAAAGTATTTCTCAAACACTAATGAATTCAGCCTCAAAGCTCCCACGACATGGAGTAAATATCACCATCATTTTACATGTAGGGAAACTGAGGCAGTGCTGTGACGTGATCAGCTCTTGGTGACACATCACAGCAAGCCCAAGTGTCTGAGCTGGGAATAGAAGCCCAGATTCCCAGTCTGCTGTCCTAACCACTAGGCTACTTTGTAATACATATAACCAGAAAAGCCACAAAGGAATCAGAGGACACTTGCAGCCAACAGGTGCTCCGCAGGCTGTAGTGTGAGAGGAGGAAGAACCCATCTTGCACACTCACTTGCCAAGGGCGTCGTCAACATCCCCACGACTCGGCTCCATCCCGCGCACTCGGCCCCGACAACTCAAAGGCATTAGCTCATCTGCAGGATACGCGTGTTTCTGTACAAGGGGAAATACCACAAGTGCTCAGTCGCTAACTGTTGACTTGGAAAGTCTCTAAAGACTGTAAAGTGGGCCGCTTTTGAAGTAAACTAGGCCCTTTGCCATTCCCGCTGCAGAAGAAATGCCTCTTGTATTAGGCTGCTTGTTCCTTGCTCTACAGTTACGCACATGCCTTATCAACCTCTATCCAGGACACGGGAAGCAATGCAAACAGCTGCTTAGATCTGTGCGGCACTCATCCAGATCCTACATTAGAGGAGGGCTAATACTTTGCCAATATAAAGCACCTAGCCGAGGCTGTCGAGGGCTTTGCAAACGTTCACTGAAATCCTGGAGCTCCTACTCAGACAAAACTTTCAACAGCAGTCGGATTTTGCCTAAGTTAGGAGCGAATGAAAACCAGGGGTGAGGATTTCAGTATTTAGGTCTTTAGTTATGATTAGCCCCATTTTACAGAATGCGGAGTGACACACAGCTAGCTCATCAGTGGCAGAGCTAGGAATAGCATGCAGATCACCTAATTCATGCTGACTGCTACACCATGCAATCTCCATAAGAAAATGTAATATATATATATATCTCCAAGCAATTCTCACAGTCAAGACAGTTACCTTAAATTCTAAGACATTTAGGTGAGGGGACATTCGGAATTCTGGACAAAATTAGCCTAGCCTCGCCAGCCACAGAAGCTCACTATGTGAGCAAGAGTTACCCTTTGTTCTCATGGACAGCCGCCTACTATCTGCTACCCCTACTCTAAGCACAACGGATTAAGATGAGGAAGGTTTCCCTGCTCCATTTGCAAGTCTCCTAGGGTTGGGTGGATTCCAGCCAGCACCTGAAAGTTGTCCATGTAGGAATTTCTTTGGTGGAGCTTTAGACCTGGTCTACACCTAAAACATAGGTTGACCTAGTTATGCCACTCAGGGGTGTGATAAGTCACACCCTGAGAGACGTAGTTAAGCTAACCTAAGCCACAGCATAGACACTGTTAGGTTGGTCGATGGAAGAATTCTTCTATCAACCTAGCTTCTGCCTCTTGGGGGGCTGGATTTACGACCGTGACAAGAGAAACCCTGCCATTGGTGTAGCAAGTGTCTATACTACAGCGCTGCAGGTGCAGCGCTTGTAACGTAGGCATACCCTTAGCGTTCATTGAAAGAACGGAAGGGGGGGTAGGGAATTTCTCATAAAGAAGGCAGCTCTCTTTTTGCCAACTGTGACCCTCTGAAGGTTAGAATGGAAACAGAAAAGACCAGATAGTGTGTGGCCATGGTATGGCGCTTGCGGATACAAGCAGCTTTCCAGCCTCCTTTATACCCATACAAGAGCCCAGAGAATGGAAGACAGGGTCTGGTCCTTCCTGCCATGCATACACCACTCCAAAAGAGGAGGGAAAGGTCTTTGCCCCCCAAACTCCTCCATACCATCCTAATAGAGACACAGCCCCTCCCAACTCTACCCCGGGGTTGGGGCAGCTCAGCATCACTCCCTAGCTTGGCCATAGCCTAGCCCCAAGAGGAGAGTAAATTCAGGGGAGTTGGGGTGTGAGTGGCTGCTGCACCTGGGCTGCTTCCCCCATGTTTCTGTTTTAAAGAGGGTATTTTTGGTCATACTGCGAGACTCTTGTATTTTTTTTCTGCAGTTGTAGACCACCCCAAGCTACCGGACACGCTGGAGGGAGGGAAAGCTTCTGGGTAAGTAGTGTTAGAAGAATAGACAGGACCTTAGACTCAGAGTTTTGTCCAGAGACATGTGAGCAAGAACGATATAAAACTACTAGTTACCATGTAGCTGCCGTACGCGTGGTCAAACATCTCCACGACCTGGTCCCTGGAAAGGCAACAGCAGAGAGACAAAGGGAAGCTCGGCTAGCACAGAACTGCTGACCACTGCCATTGGGCAGTCCCATTGATCAAGAATTCTGTGACTTCCGTTTCAAAGCAGATGAGACGACAACAATCCAGCCTCAATCGCTGGCCTGTATCTAGAGCATTTTATTAAGTCAGTGCTCAATTACTGGTCCCCTTTCTTTTCAACCATCGTCATTAGGGTAAATTGTGTACTGAGCCGAGAAGGTGCCCACTCTCCATAGGGGAATCTAAACTGGGCAGACAATGCGTTCAACGCACAAGATGTTCCAGTGTACCCTAGAGAGATCTTTTGGTTCACATGGACATGTCTTCATTTTTACCAACAGCACCCTACAAAGCTCATTCCTTACTCCTAGACAATTGGGGGTGGGGGGGTGCTGCTGGGAGCAGGGAGGGGATTAGAGTTTTTAAGTTGTTTGTCTTCCTGGTGCTGGGTTATATGAAATGGCTCTGCTCCACTCAGGCTCATTAAGGATGTATTTTCAAGTTAGGTCAAGCGTTCCTAGAGCACACGCACTGGTGCAAATCGATTGCGACTCTACGCCCTTTGGGTCGGGGGCTGTCTCTCATTACGGACATACACAGCGCCTTGCACACCAGAACCCTAACCCTTGACTGGCACCTCCCTGCGCTACCATGAGCTTAAGTCATCCTTCCTCAGCAGGAAACTTGTACGATAACCACCTGGACCTCCCGCCTATCCCCTGCGTCCTGGCACAATTTTCACCGGTGGGTGGAGGAAACCAAACTTCCCCCACCAGCACTTGTGTGGCTGGACGTTTGCCGACAGGAGGGGGAGTGGGATCCAGCTTTCGTGTTATTTGGGGCGGGCGGGCAGAGGAGGAGAGACAAGCTGCTTCGCGCAGCTACCGGCACCGGGGAGCCCCCCTGGGTGGGAGCTTTTCACACCTGCCCCCAAGCCCCACCAGTTACAGCAGCCGGGGCTAAACGAACCCAACCGGACCAGCCCCGCAGCGAGCCCCGGACAAAGGGTGGGGGCGCTGCCTGCCCCCCGGGAGGGGGATTCCCGGGTCCTGGCTGGGGCGGCCCTGAATCCGGGGGGGGGGGGGAGACAGACCGCCCCGGGGCTGCTCTCACCTGAGCTGGCTCCTCTCCGCCGCCCCCAGGGCCGCCGCCCCCGCGGCGAGGGGCGCCCACAGCAGGGCCGCCAGCAGGCCCAGGGGGGTCCCTGGCGCCCGGCCGCCGCCCATGGTCGCCTCCGCCCCGGGCTAGCAGGAGCCGGCGCCCCGGCGACAGCGGGCCCCGCGCCCGGCCATGCCGCGCCCCGGCCCCGGCCCGCGGGCTAGTTACCGGGTGACGCCGCCCGCCCGCCCGGCCGGGCCCTGCCCCCCGCGCCGCCGGGCCCGCGGCTCCGCCATGGCGCCCGCCCCGCAGCCCGGCTCAGGCCGCGCCCGCCGCCGCCCCCCCCCCGCAAGGCATGCTGGGACACGCCGTTCCGCCCGCCCCTGCGCGGGGGGTGCTGGGAACGGTAGTTCCGAGGCCTCGCCCCGCCGGGACTCGGGGCAGGCTCCCAGCGGGCATTGCAAGCCCCCAGCCCTGACGGCATGCAGATTAGCGGCGGGGGCGGGGGGCGCAAACAGAGGCTCCGCCCCCTGGACTGGGGGCGGGCTGGGGGCTTCAGCCCAGCGGCGATGGGGGCCGGCGGCTCCAGGCCCCTAGGCAGCGTCTGCCGGGGCTCGGGCCCTGCAGGGCTAAAGCCCCGAAGCAAACCCTCCGTCCAGGGCCGCAGCCCCGGGGCCCAGCCCGCACGCCCCGCGGGAGGGGAGCCCCCAGCCCTGGCGCGCCCCCTGCTCTCGCGCTTCTGAAGGTTGTCGCAGGCGGCTTGGCGGGTCGGGAATTTCCAGCACCCCGGGCCTAGTATTGTCCCGGGTCGCCGCCGTACACGTTGGTGGCATCGCTTCAAGGTAGAGGACGGGGGCCTCTGAACGACACTGCATGTCCTGGGGCCTGCTCGGTGCAGTGTAAGCTTCAGGCACGGGAGATCAGGCAAAAGGCAGGGGTTGTTTTTTTCGGGGGGTTCCCAAAGAGAGAACGACATCTCCTAAAATCCCACAGGCCCAGATACTTGCACCAGAGGTGGGACAGACAGGTTACCCCCCCCCCTCCTCTGACTTGTCAGTTTTGCCATCTGTAAAATGGGGATAGGAATAGTGAGCTCCTTGGTAAAGTGCTGCGAGATCAATAGATGAACTGTATAACAGCTAGGTATTAGGTTTCAGAGGGGTAGCTGTGTTAGTCTGTATCAGCAAAAAGAACAAGGCGTACGCGTGGCTCTAACAAATTTATAATTGGTAAGTAAATATAAAAAGAAAAGGAGGACTTGGGGCACCTTAGAGACTAACCAATTTATTTGAGCATAAGCTTTCGTGAGCTACAGCTCACTTCATCGGATGCATACTGTGGAAACCGATGCATCCGATGAAGTGAGCTGTAGGTCACGAAAGCTTATGCTCAAATAAATTGGTTAGTCTCTAAGGTGCCATAAGTCCTCCTTTTCTTTTTGCGAATACAGACTAACACGGCTGTTACTCTGAAACCTGTCATTAAGTAGATATAGATATACTTACAAATTATAAATATGTATACACACACACACACACTTACAAATGATAAATGTGTTAGTCTCTAAGGTACCACAAGTACTCCTTGTTCGTTTAGCTAGGTATTAGTTTCCCCCTTCAAAAAGAAAAAGATGTCAGTAAGTTGCAACAGCTCCAAGGGGGGATTCAAACAAAGTCTGTTCAGATTAATTAGATCTGTAATTAAAATAATTTTAAAGTGTTGCTATAAACGCAGAAGGGGCTGAGAAAAGGGTTCTCTCCCCTACACAAAAATCTCCCAGGACTCCTTCCTCTGTATGATACACTACAACTCCCACAATTCTGTGCAAGCCATGTGATTTTTATTGAGCTTGCAAGTGACTATATTGAAGCATACACCGCCTCGCAACTTACCAAACTATTGAGTTTCCAGAGGAGCGGCTATCATACTTCGGGATCACTTTACACATTCCCTTCCTTTCCGGTTGTGTTGCACTGCAAAGCAGAAATAAAGAAGCCAAGATGATGCAAGTAAGTGCATTTCAGATTTGCTGTCTGATGGGGTTAGAAATCTGCCGGGATTGTAAATGACAGGTTGGAGTCAGCTGATACATGCACGCCGTGCTTTCCTTCAAATACAAATGATACATTGGTGGCATTTAATTAACTATCCGATCGCAAGTGATTGACAGTGGACAGGTTTATATTTTGCACAGAGAAGGCTCTGCTGCACTCTGGCCATTTACTCGGGGGCAAGGAAGCATGATGTGGACACAGGAACTTCATTAGGGACAGCACGTTCAGTAAAAAGAAAAGGAGGACTTGTGGCACCTTAGAGACTAACAAATTTATTTGAGCATAAGCTTTCATGAGCTACAGCTCACTTCATCGGATGCATGCAGTGGAAAATACAGTGGGGAGATACACAGAGAACATGAAACAATGGGTGTTACCATACACACTGTAGCAAGAGTGATCAGGTAAGGTGAGCTATTACCAGCAGGAGAGAAAAAAACCTTTTATAGTGATAATCAAGGTGTGCCATTTCCAGCAGTTGACAAGAACGTCTGAGGAACAGTGGGGGGGGGGGGGTGCGAATAAACATGGGGAAATAGTTGTACTTTGTGTAATGACCCATCCACTCCCAGTCTTTATTCAAGCCTAAGTTAATTGTGTCCAGTTTGCAAATTAATTCCAATTCAGCAGTCTCTCCTTGGAGTCTGTTTTTGAAGTTTTTTTGTTGAAGAATTACCACTTTTAGGTCTGTAATTGAGTGACCAAAGAGACTGAAGTGTTCTCTGACTGATTTTTGAATGTTATCATTCTTGACGTCTGATTTGTGTCCATTTATTCTTTTACGTAGAGACTGTCCAGTTTGACCAATGTACATGGCAGAGGGGCATTGCTGGCACATGATGGCGTATATTACATTGGTAGATGTGCAGGTGAACGAACCTCTGATAGTGTGGCTGATGTGATGTGCAATACAGCTGCAGCTATGTCACTATAGAATAATCGGACTGGAGGGGACCTCGAGAGGTCATCTAGTCCAGTCCCCTGCACTCATGGCAGGACTAAGTGTTATCTAGACCATCCCTGACAGGTATTTCTCTAACCTGCTCTTGAAAATCTCCAATGATGGAGATTCCACAACCTCCCTAGGCAATTTATTCCAGTGCTTAACCACCCTGACTGTTAGGAAGTTTTCCCTAATGTCGAACCTAAAGCTCCCTTGCTGCAATTTAAGCCCATTGCTTCTTGTCCTATCCTCAGATGTTAAGAAGAACAATTTTTCTCCCTCTTCCTTGTAACAATCTTTTATGAACTTGAAAACTGTTATGTCCCCTCTCAGTCTTCTCTTCTCTAGACTAAACAAACCCAATTTTTTCAATCTTCCCTCATAGGTCATGTTTTCTAGACATGTAATCTTCTCTGGACTTTGTCCAATTTGTTCACATCTTTCCTGAAATGTGGCACCCAGAACTGGACACAATATTCCAGTTGAGGCTAATCAGTGCGAGTAGAGCAGAAGAATTACTTCTCCTGTCTTGCTTACAATACTCCTGCTGATACATCCCAGAATGATGTTTGCTTCTTTTGCAACAGTGTAACACTGTTGACTCATATTTAGCTTGTGATCCACTATGACCCCCAGATCCCTTTCTGCAGTACTCCTTTCTAGGCAGTCATTTCCCATTTTGTATGTGTGAAACTGATTGTTCTTACCTAAATGGAGAACTTTGCATTTGTCCTTATTGAATTTCATCCTACTTACACCTACAATGAGGGAAAAGTTTTTTTCCCATCAATGTCGTTAATCCACCTCCCTGAGCAGGGGTAGCTATGTGGAGGGAAGAATTCTTCTGTTGCTGTAGGTGCATCTACTCTGGGGATTAGGTCATTTTTCACAGCCCTGAGTGACTAGATTGATCTAAGTGCAGACCAGGCCAGGGGTGCGGTACTCCACAGGGTGTAACAGCAAACACAGTAATACTCCAAACAACAATCTCTCAAATCCTGTATGTAATCACCAGCTATTTGTTTAACCCACAGGTGCAGGGTAACAAAAAGGAGTCAAGATTCTGGTACGTGCATGCAGATTAGCAGTTGTCACACATACACACAGTGAATATTTCACTGGTATAGTTAATAAGTCTGCTGTTTGGAGGGCTGTTCTGAATGCTACAATTAAGTGTTCTCACTAAAAAATTTAGTGAATTAAAATTTAACTTTGGTTAATTGGATCATCCGATGTATTAGCTTCTTAAGGAGAGATTCTACTGTCAGATAAATTTAATTCATAGAATCATAGAATATCAGGGTTGGAAGGGACCTCAGGAGGTCATCTAGTCCAACCCCCTGCTCAAAGCAGGACCAATCCCCAACTAAATCATCCCAGCCAGGGCTTTGTAAAGCAGGGCCTTAAAAACCTCTAAGGAAGGAGATTCCACCACCTCCCTAGGTAACACATTCCAGTGTTTCACCATCCTCTTAGTGAAAATTTTTTTCCTAATATCCAACCTAAACCTCCCCCACTGCAACTTGAGACCATTACTCCTTGTTCTGTCATCTGCTACCACTGAGAACAGTCTAGATCCATCCTCTTTGGAACCCCCTTTCAGGTAGCTGAAAGCAGCTATCAAATCCCCCCTCATTCTTCTCTTCCGCACACTAAACAATCCCAGTTCCCTCAGCCTCTCCTCATAAGTCATGTGTTCCAGACCCCTAATCATTTTTGTTGCCCTCTGCTGGATGTTTTCCAATTTTTCCACATCCTTCTTGTAGTGTGGGGCCCAAAACTGGACACAGTACTCCAGATGAGGCCTCACCGATGTCGAATAGAGGGGAACGATCACATCCCTCAATCTGCTGGCAATGCCCCTACTTATACATCCCAAAATGCCATTGGCCTTCTTGGCAACAAGGGCACACTGTTGACTCATATCCAGCTTTTCGTCCACTGTAACCTCTAGGTTCTTTTCTGCAGAACTGCTGCTGAGCCATTCGGTCCCTAGTCTGTAGCGGTGCATGGGATTCTTCTCTCCTAAGTGCAGGACTCTGCACTTGTCCTTATTGAACCTCATCAGATTTCTTTTGGCCCAATCCTCTAATTTGTCTAGGGCCCTCTGTATCCTATCCCTAACCTCCATCGTATCTACCTCTCCTCCCAGTTTAGTATCATCTGCAAACTTGCTGAGCGTGCAATCCACACCATCCTCCAGATCATTTATGAAGATATTGAACAAAACTGGCCCGAGGACCGACCCTTGGGGTACTCCGCTTGATACCGGCTGCAACTAGACATGGAGCCATTGATCTCTACTCGCTGAGCCTGACAATCTAGCCAACTTACTATCCACCTTATAGTCCATTCATCAAGCCCATACTTCTTTAACTTGCTGGCAAGAATACTGTGGGAGACCATGTCAAAAGCTTTGCTAAAGTCAAGGAACAACACGTCCACTGCTTTCCCCTCATCCACAGACCCAGTTATCTCTTCATAGAAGGCAATTAGATTAGTCAGGCATGACTTGCCCTTGGTGAATCCATGCTGACTGTTCCTGATCACTTTCCTCTCCTCTAAGTGCTTCAGAATCGATTCCTTGAGGACCTGCTCCATGATTTTTCCAGGGACTGAGGTGAGGCTGACTGGCCTGTAGTTCCCCGGATCCTCCTCCTTCCCTTTTTTAAAGATGGGCACTACATTAGCCTTTTTCCAGTCGTCCGGGACTTCCCCCGATCATCATGAGTTTTCAAAGATAATGGCCAATGGCTCTGCAATCAATTTCGCCAACTCCTTTAGCACTCTCGGATGCAGCACATCCGGCCCCATGGACTTGTGCTCGTCCAGCTTTTCTAAATAGTCCCGAACCACTTCTTTCTCCACAGAGGGCTGGTCACCTCCTCCCCATGCTGTGCTGCCCAGTACAGCAGTCTGGGAGCTGACCTTGTTCATGAAGACAGAGGCAAAAAAAGCATTGAATACATTAGCTTTTTCCACATCCTCTGTCACTAGGTTGCCTCCCTCATTCAGTAAGGGGCCCACACTTTCCTTGACTTTCTTCTTGTTGCTAACATACCTGAAGAAACCCTTCTTGTGACTCTTAACATCTCTTGCTAGCTGCAACTCCAGGTGTGATTTGGCCTTCCTGATTTCACTCCTGCATGCCCGAGCAATATTTTTATACTCTTCCCTGGTCATTTGTCCAATCTTCCACTTCTTGTAAGCTTCTTTTTTGTGTTTAAGATCAGCAAGGATTTCACTGTTAAGCCAAGCTGGTCGCCTGCCATATTTACTATTCTTTTTACACATCGGGATGGTTTGTCCCTGTAACCTCAATAAGGATTCTTTAAAATACAGCCAGCTCTCCTGGACTCCTTTCCCCCTCATGTTATTCTCCCAGGGGATCCTGCCCATCAGTTCCCGGAGGGAGTCAAAGTCTGCTTTTCTGAAGTCCAGGGTCCGTATTCTGCTGCTCTACTTTCTTCCCTGTGTCAGGATCCTGAACTCGACCATCTCACTGCCTCCCAGGTTCCCATCCACTTTTGCTTCCCCTACTAATTCTTCCCGGTTTGTGAGCAGCAGGTCAAGAAGAGCTCTGCCCCTAGTTGGTTCCTCCAGCATTTGCACCAGGAAATTGTCCCCTACACTTTCCAAAAACTTCCTGAATTGCTGTGCACCACTGTATTGCTCTCCCAGCAGATATCAGGGTGATTGAAGTCTCCCATGAGAACCAGGGCCTGCGATCTAGTAACTTCCGTGAGTTGCCGGAAGAAAGCCTCATCCACCTCATTCCCCTGGTCCGGTGGTCTATAGCAGACTCCCACCACGACATCACCCTCGTTGCTCACACTTCTAAACTTAATCCAGAGACTCTCAGGTTTTTCTGCAGTTTCATACTTGAGCTCTGAGCAGTCATACTGCTCCCTTACGTACAGTGCAACTCCCCCACCTTTTCTGCCCTGCCTGTCCTTCCTGAACAGTTTATATCCATCCATGACAGTACTCCAGTCATGTGAGTTATCCCACT